TGTGGAAACTGTATTCTGAGCCAAAACACGTACTGACATACTATTGTGTATTTCTATTGCTGTCTTTAGGAAGGCTTTGGTTTGAATGACTTCTAATGGGACATTATTTGTGTGTGTTAGATTAAGTGGCAATAGTGAGAATATAAAAGAGGGAGGAAAATTAACTGAATATTAATAGATTTATTTCTCCAGATTCCAGTAGTCTCAGATATAACTCTCATGATTTGATTTAATTACAGTACAATACAGTAATCACTGTCCTTGCAGTGCCCTTAGAGAAAACCCTATGTCCACAAATTTAGCAACTTCCTGAAGCATCCAGTCAGTTATGTGAGCATATTAAGCCTGTTTTGTTCTGGGAGTAATTCTGTGACACATGGAAAAACATGACAAATCAGTCTTATTTATTATCATATCTGTTTCAACTGTACTCTCAAAAAACAGCAGGTATTTGATTAATTCTGCAAAAAACCCAGATTCTGTTAAAAACCAACATTTTTCAGCATTTGGTGCCATTTAAACATCCATCCATTATCTATACCGCTTATTCCTGATTAGGGTCGCGGAGGGGCTGGAGCCAATCCCAGCTGACATTGGGTGAGAGGCGGGGTCCACCCTGAACAAGTCATCAGTCTATCACAGGGCTGACACATACACAAACAATCACACACACTCAATCCTATGGGCAATTTAGAGTGGCCAGTCAACCTAAGCTGCATGTGTTTGGACTGTGGGAGGAAGCCGGAGTACCAGGAGCGAACCCACGCAGGCACAGGGAGGCAACAGTGCTAACCCCCGCGCCACTGTGCTGCCCACCTTAAATAGCACCACAGTTAATAGTGCTTTAAATAGTGCTTCAGCAGCCAGAGTATTTTCATAAATAAAAGACAGTGGCAGTCATGTTGATCTTGAAGTAAAAAGCAGAAATACAACATTTATTTGCATTGCAAAGGAAATAACCAGGAATGTGCTGACTGGACAATGCAGCACTTTCCCAGATGTCCTCACTATAAAGATAATGTTGAACCAAATCCAGCTTTTTTTTCCTTTCTGTGTGATGCTGCAGTGTTTTGGTAGAGGCCTGTGTGGTGCCAGTTGCATTCTGTGTGAAACCTTACCCCTGATTCCTTTGGAGAGGCTCACTGCTGCAGTTTGGCTTAGCTACACAACTTTCAGTACCTGTTAGTGTTAATAGTTGTTTTGAATTTTGATTTTAAATACTTTTATCATATTCAGATTACCTTTAATTTCCCTTAAGAGTTTTGTTTATTTACTGTGAAAGTATAGCTGTAGCATCAATACAACTATCACAGTAAGTTAAGCGAAAACTCTTCTTGACTTCATAACTTGATTTCATTCGGCTTTATCACCTGATACCCCCGTATCATATTAATGTGCCCTATACTATTGAGGCCTCAAGCACCCAACAATAAAAATACTTGATACATTTAGAGGTCCACAAGATAAAGTAATGCTCAAACCTCTCAACACTAACCCATACAATATCTGCTGCATGTATAAATAAGCAACAGCTTTCTAACATTTCAGCCCTATAACATCTTTATTAGGTAATGATACAGCAGCGATGTGTTTACAGGTCATTGTGCTGCCTCCAAGTAGTCAAACAAATCAACCGATGCATGTTTAATAGAAGTTCCACTAAAGTGATCAAAATCAAAACCAAGATCATTCTGTTGGTTGCTTTATTAATGCCATGTGCAAGGCTTTAGTTCTCTGAGACCCTTTGTTTTAAAATAGAAAAGTACATAGAGAAATGTTTAGGTTCATTAAACCTAAACACCCACTGCTGTATATATTATGTTAAAACAACAAAATATTGAGAATGCCTTGGCACAGATATGTGTCTATATATCATCTTTATTCCTGCTTAAAAGCTTGCTAACTTTCCCTATGTATATGCATTTTTCTTCCAAATGGCAAAGCGAGCACCTGCCTGACTGTCAGTTTAGACATCTTCTGCAGGGAAAACAGAAGACAAATCTGCTTAACAATTTACATTTCCAGAGTGGGAATTACTGGAGGGCACAAAAAGCCCAGAGACAACAGGAGGGAAAATAGAATTACTCTGACTGGTACAAAGCTCTAAAAATATGGCCCACTGGTCTGTCTGTCTTGTGTGTTGGAAATAAAACCACTTGGTTCCTTCCACATCACCCGTTTGTTCCCCCCTGCAAAAGAAATAGTCTCTGTGGTTTTACAGAGCCAGCACAAACCCCAACAGGAAACTCTAAAAACACATGGACTAAGAAAAGGGGTCTATATTTAAACCCCCCCCAATTATATTTAATTGCAGAAAAGCATAGCCAATTCTAGCCACGGGGGCTGAGGCTGTAAGCTGAGCTTGCACTGTGACTGGCCTATTTTCACTGGGGCCAGAGCAACCTAAAGCTGGAGACAGGGACAGGAGAGGACAGGGAGACAAACAGTGAGACAGAGCAAGTGAGAGCATAGATAATGAAAGAAGGAGAGAAAAAATAGACTGAGCAAGAGAGGGTGGATAATGGGTGTGAGAGGTAAGGGGCAGGGGGCCTCCCTCCCTTCTGTCCCCCTTGTCTTGTGGTGCAGGGTTATTTTTAGCTACGATGGGGAGCAACGCGGTGCTGTAAAGGCAATCATTTCTGCTGCGGCACAGTCATAGCTCACTGCGACATCTCTGTCCCAGCCAAGGAAACACACGCTTGCGCATGCATGCACACCACAGTTCAATAACCATGGGTTTTTAAGGACTGGTCTCACTGTCAATACTTTAAACTGCAGCTGCCAGTTGCTGGTATCTTGTATTGATATTCACTCTTTAAGGCTGCAGCTTAAAGAGTCTCATGACATTCGCATAGAAACCACTGACACTGAAAACTATTTTAACTCCCTAAAATGTGAAATTACCATGATGTAAGAGCTTCTGTTGAGCATCCTGGGCTAGTGCCTGACCTGTATTTAACATTTGGCGACAACTTCTCAAAGGTCAGATATCTCACTCTTAAGTGGTTGTTGTTTTTTAAGTGTGCACTGAAAACAAAAGCCCCTTCTTAAACGGTAAAATGTGCAAATCAGCCAGAGCGCGACAGGTCATACCAGTCTAGTTGGGGATTAGCTGAGTAAACGTACATGCACACACACAACTGTATTCCCTGGGTGACATTTACCAGGTCAGAGAGAGAAAACCCTGAATCAATACCTCCTCTTAAAGGAATTAAAACATGTTTCATTACATAATGGAGCTAATAGCTATTGCTTTTAAAATAATATTTACACATCACTCTGTCTCTTCCTGCTTAAAGTCTAATAAGGTTAATGTAAGGAAATATCTCAATGTTTGTCTCAATTTCAACACTAACTGTCCTTGTAACCATGCTATATATTTAGCAGTCTACAGGGCAAGGCCATCTGGCTATCAGTGTCACATGTTCAAAAGCCAGAGGCCACTTGTCTGGGCACCGAGGCCTATTGATAAATAGATGTGTTGTACTGTATTTATATGGGCTCATGGTCATTTGTAAAATATGCATAGTACTATTAATAGACTTATTGATAAAAATATTTGAAAAATAAGCTGTGTTCTGTGAACAAATAAAAAAAGATTCTGCATATTTTGAAGGTATGTATTTAAAACAGATATTAAAGAAAAAATACATGATCTCAAGCTTTTCACAAGGAAAAAATTGGAAAAGAAAAGGAATGTTATATTTCTGTTGTAAAAAAAAATCTGGAGTTTGTATTATCTGAAAAAAAAAATGTAACATGCACCTTTTCAGACTGTTTGACTACCTCGAACGCTGGTCTAAAAAAACTGACATGTTGTCTTACCTGTCAGTTTTGTACCATCTGACGTGGACAATCTTACCAGCTAAAACAGTCTTGCACCGTTTTAGACATTATGAACATCTTGAATACTGGTCTAAATAATAGGCCTACATGAGCAGTGTTTCAAAGTTCTTATCCAAAAAAATCATTACTTTACTTTTAAAAATTGGTTGTAGTTTCAGTAGTTATGCAAAAATAATGGCAACACTAATTTTTTATTACTCACTTTTTAATAAAGTGAGTAAAAGGTATGATTGTATTGTTTGTTATGTTTAAAGAAAAAGTTCAAAATTATCACTTTGTTGCTGTGAATTAGAGAAGATAATACCACTGCTACTGTATGTCTGTATGCTCCCATTAAAACCACAACTTGTTTATTCTAAGGAAACAATGAGTGTTCTTTAGGGGTGCTGGTAGTTTGATTTTCTTTTCAGATATGTACTGAGCTAGGCAGCTCTTTCCTTCTTCCAGTCTAAGGGGCTGTTCACTTTTCACGTCATTTGCATGCTCAAATTCATTATTTTAAATGGAGACAGGTGAGAAGTGGGATTAGCGTGCTCACAATAGAGAGCGACGCTATCCCGATGCTCATGCCTCCCAAAACACCCAGGAGGCATTCTAAACTTTTCAGAATGCAGCAAGCGCACCACAGGTCATGTGACAAGAACCAATCAAACAGTTTCACCCCTTCTGTAACAACATCCGGTTCAAAACTCAGCCAAGATGGAGCACAGAGCTCTTGGATCAGTTGGTGAAATTCTCCGTGTTTTCTTTGTGCTTGAGGGATGGGGTGCGCCAAGACATTTTATTTCTCTGCTCTTGTCCACAAATAACTCTAGTAGCAGGGCTACCGCAAGGAATATTTGGTGGTGGAAATTCATTTATTTCCTGCAACTTCTTTGTCCTCATGCAGCGCGCAGCTCATGGTTACTTAGCAATAGCAGACACCACGGGAGCGCAAGCTCCTGAGCACTTTGGAAGAAAGGAGAAAGCGTGGCATTTTCCACGCATTTTAAGATGTGATAAATGAACGGCCCCTAACCCTACTGTCTGCTGACTGTAGCATCATATTTAGCGTATCTACTCATCTTACAGTATGTAAATGTGGGCAAGAAAAAGAACAAGTGCATTTCCAAAAATATCAAATGACTCCTTTAATTTGGGAATATTCTCCTTACCAGTGATGAGCTCCCGAACCTCCATGTCACTGGTCTTCCTCAGCAGACGGATGAGGGCTGGGATACCATCACAATTCTTGATGGCAACCTTGTTGTCACTGTCTTTGCCATAGGAAATGTTGCGTAGGGCGCCACAAGCCTTGCGGTGCACTTCAGATTTGGGGTGGTCCAGAAGCCCCACCAGAACAGGAATCCCCTTCAGCTGACGTACATCCTTCTTAATTTTATCGTTTTCGTAACACAGGTGCTGCAGGTAGGCAGCAGCATTGGACTTGACTGGGTCGATGGGATGGCCTAGCATGGCAATGACCTCGGACAGGTCTGGGTCACGCCAGCGTGGGTCCTTGCGGATGCTGTCAATAGAGGGCGAGCGCCGGCCACCCATGTGGTCCAAACTGGCCATGCTCCCTCTCTCTGGCTGTGCCAGTGGCGCTGAATACATGCCATGGATATACGGGTGGCGCTCATCAATCAGCTCTGCCTCGATGGGGTCGTCTGGGTACCCTCTGGAAGACAAGAGAAGAGAGGACGATGAGGACCAGAGAGATGGAAGCTAACTCAGGCAGATTTGTCTGAAAGAAGAATTATGCTGCTGGAGGAATGAAGGGGAGAGTGGTGGTCTGACCTATTATTAGGTCTGTTAGAGAGACAGTGGTGGCAATTTCCTGCAATAAGAGTGATACAGGAAGCAACATTCTCATTTTTCCTCCCTGGTGGTAGCGTCAAACACATCAGACAAACATTAAGGCTTAGCGAGACTGATTGAGAGACAGGAAGCGATTGTACAAAGAAAAAACAGACATTTCTCAAAGAAACACAGACGAAGTCAACAACAAAGAAAAATCTTTGAAGGAAAGTCATGTGAAGTCTTTTTTTTAAGAAGCCACCACATATAGCAGAGAAGGGATTTGATGTCTTTTCCCCCTGGGAACAGAGAAAGGAGCTGTGCTTTCCCCCCAGGGAGGACCAAGAGACCCTATGATGCCCCCATGGCTCCCTTTGCTCACAGCAGCAACACTAACAGTCAGTCACTCAAATATTAATGGCCATCTCAATGGGACTTCTCTGTTGGTATTAGTCTCACTAGCATTACTATTGTTTGTACTGTGCTCTGTTCATTTTTGTGACAAATTTAAGTGTTGTCCACTGGGGGAGGAAGGGGAGAGTTGCCTTTGAGGGTCAATAGGGGGTTTCCTTCAACGATTCTTTATTTCCCAAGCTTCTCAGAGCCTATGATCTATGCTCTGTTTGCTACAGTTCATTAAAGACAGCCTCATCAATTCTTTATAGGAACACGGGCAAAAAATAGAGGCTCAACTGCAATGACAGATCATTTGTTGCTGAGTACGTATTTTACTCAAGGCTCTTTATTCATGGGAACAATTTTTCACTTGTAGGGGGCAACTCTGAAAATGGAGGCAGGGGAGTCCCATTTTACACTGGCAGAAAAGTTCCAAAGCATATTTTTAAACTTTTTTTTGAAAACATACCGCTGAGTTGTCTAAAAGGAAAAGAAAATGTTTGGTATGACATAGGAAGAGGAATTTAATTATTGTT